AAAAAAAAAAAATCAAGATTGAATCTAATTGTTGTTGCTAGGTACCATTGAGCCATCAATGACTCATAGCGACCCTATGCACAAGAGAACAAAACACTGCCCAGTCCCATGCCAATGTCACAAACATTGTTAAGCCTGAGCCCATTGCTGCCGCCACTGTGCTGATCCATCTCAGTGGGGGTCTTACTCTTTTTCACTGACTGTCCACTTTACCAAACATGATACCCTTCTCCAGAGACTGGTCCCTCCTGATAATATGCCCAAAGTATGAGAGACGAAGTTTGGGCCATCCTGGCTTCCAAGGAGCACTCTGGTTGTACTTCTTCCTACAAAGACTTTTGTTCTTTTGGCAGTTCATGGTACTTTTAATATTCTCCTCCAATACCATAACTCAAATGAATCAATTTGTCTATGGTCTTCCTTATTCACTGTCAAACTTTCACATGCATATAAGGTTACTGAAAATACCATGGCTTGGATAAAGCGCACCTTAGCCCTCAAACAGACATCTTTGCTCTTTAACGCTTTAAAAAGGTCTTGTGCAGATTTACCAAATGCAATACATCGCTTGATTTCTTGACTGCTGCTTCCATGAGTAATGATGGTTGATTAGAGCAAAATGAAGTCTTTAGCATCAATCTTTTCTCCTTTTTATGGATATTGTTTACTGGTCAATTGTTGGGGATTTCTGTATTCCTTACATTGAGTTGCAACCCATACCGAAGGCTGTAGCCTTTGATCCTCATCATTAAGTATTTTAAGTCTTCTTTGCTTCAGCAAACAAGGTTGTATCATCTGTATATCGCAGGTTCTTAATTACAACCCTGGAGCACACCTTTCCGAATTTTAAACCCTTAAGTCTCCCCTTGTTCTGATCAAATAACTGCCTCTTGGTCTACGTACAGGTGGCTCATAAGCACAATTAAGTGTTCTCATTCTCTGAAATGTTATCCATAGCTTGTCATGATCCACAAAATCAAAAGCCTATGTATAGTCAATAAAGTACACGTAAACATCTTTGCGGAATTCTCTGCTTTCAGCCAAGATTCATCTGACAAACAAATGATATCCATGGTTCCACGTTATCTTTGAATCCAGCTTGAACCTCTAGAAGTTTTCTATCAATGTATGGTTGTAGTATTTTTTGGATTATCTTTAGCAAGATTTTGCTGGCATGTGGTATTAATGATATTATTGTCTGATGATTTCTGTATTCCACTGGGTCACTTCTCTTTGGAATGGGCACAAATATGGACTTCTTCCAGTCAGCTGGACAGGTCTATCATATTTTTAGGCATAGGTGAGTGCCTCCAGTTTGTTGAAATATTTCAATTTGTATTCCATCAATTCCCGGTGACTTGTTCTTTGCCAATGCCTTCACTGCACCTTGGGCTTCTTCTTTCAGTATCTTTGGCTCTTGATCATATGCTACCTCTTGAAATGGCTGAACATCAGCGATCATTTCTTTTTGGTACAGTGACTCTGTGTATTCCTTCCATATTCTTTTGATGCTTTCTGCATCATTCAATAGTTTGTCCATAGAATCCTTCACTATTTCAAGTCGAGGTTTGATTTTTTTCTCCAGTTCCCTCAGCCTGAGAAATGCTGAACAGGTTCTCTCCTTTTTGTGTTCTAACTGCATATCTTTGAACATTTTATTATAATATTTGATTTTGCCTTCTCAAGCTGATCATTGAAACTTTTCTGTTCAGTGTATTTACCTCATTTTTCCCATTTGCTTTAGCATCTCTACACCGGAGAGCAAGTTTCAGAGTCTCTTCTGACATCCATTTTGCTCTGTTTTTTCTCATTTTCTTAATGAACTTTTGCTTTCTTCCTGTATGATGTTCTTGATATCATACCACAACTATTCTGGGTCTTTGGTCTTTAGTATCTAATGTATCAAATCTGTACTTCAGATGATCTCTAAATTCAGGCGGGATATGTTCAAGGTCATATTTTGGCTCTTGCAGACTTGTTTTAATTTTCTTCAGCTTGAATTGCGTATCAGAAATTGATTCCAGTCTGCCCCTGGCCTTGTTTTAGCTGATGATATGCTTTTCCACCATCTCTTTCTACAGATGTAGTCAATTTGATTTCCGTGTGGTCCATGTATATAGTTGTCTTTTATGTTGTTTAAAAAAAGGTATTTGCAATGAAGAAGTCATTGGTCTTGCAAAATTCTATCATGATTTCCAGCATAGTTCCTATCACCACCAAGGCCATATTTTCTGACTACTGATTCCTTTTTATTTTCAACCTTTGCATTCTAATCACCTGTAGTTATCAGTACATCTTGATTGCATGTTTGATCAAAATTGGACTGAAGAAGCTGGTAGAATTCTTCAAAGTGATTATCACTGGCTTTAGTGGTTGGTGCGTAAATATGAATAATAGTTGTATTAACTGGTCTTCTTTGAAGGCATGTGGATATTATCCTGTCACAGATAGTGTTTTATTTACTTCAAGATAGATCTTGATATGTTCTTTTTGATGATGAATGTGATGCTTTTCTCCTAAGTTTGTCATTCCCAGAGTAGTAAACCATGTGACTGTCAGATTAAAAATGGCTAATACCAGTCCATTTCAGCTCACTAAGGCCTAGAATTAGGAGCTCTGGTAGCATAGTGGTTACGAATCGGACTGCAAACCTCACGGTCAGCAGTTCGAAACTACCAGCTGTTCTGCAGGAGAAAGATGAGGCTTTCTGCTTCCGTAAAGATGTACAGCCTGGGAAACCCTGTACAGGGTCCACGGCATACCACCACCACCACCACCACCACAACAACAACAACAACAATGCCTAGAATATCGATGTTTATGCGTTCCATTTCATTTTGACAATTTCCAATTTTCCTAGATTCATATTTCGTACATTCCATGTTCCGATTATAAATGGATGTTTACAGCTGTTTCTCTTCATTTTGAGTTTAAGCCAATCAACAAATGAAGGTCCCGAAGGCTTTACTCTATTTGTGTCATCACAGTCAACTCTACTTTGATGGGGCAGCTCTTCCCCAGTTGCATTTTGAATGCCTTCCAATCTGAGGGACTCATCTTCTGGCACTATATCTGACAATATTCTGCTGCTCTTCATCAGGTTTCAATAGTCAATATTCTGGTGTTGACAGTGTTCCACTGCTATTCATAAGACTGTCAGTGACAAATATTCAGAAGTAGTCCATCACTCCTTCTTCTTAGTCTGTCTTTGTCTGGATGGTCAGCTGAAACCTATCCACCGTGGGTGATACTGCTGGTATTTAAAGTTTCTGTGACACAGCTACCAGAATCACAAAAACACACAAGCCACCACAGTAAGACAGACAGGCATGGTTCCTCGCTATACTTCTTATAAAAGCAATCAAAAGTCTTATTATTTTTCTTCTAAGATCTTCTTCTCTAATTAGTCTGGTGCAATTATGAGCAGATGGAGTGGGAGGGGAAGCAACTCTCACAGAGAATGTGCACTTAAAAAAGCATATCAATACTGTTAAATGATGATGCACAGAGAAGATTGTAATCATTGCAATGAAACAATGGTGTAAAGCCGATGTTCTCCCATGTAAACTATCACTCAGTTCACACACACACAAAAAGCATTTTAATTATTGTAATTGCATGTTAGCTATCCTTTACCATGAGTTAAACAGGAACTTTTTAAAGATAAAATTGGCCTTTACAATAAAAACTAATATTACACATCTTTTTAAGTTTTTTTAAAGCAAATATTTACTTGTATATTTTTAAATGCATTATAGGATATATAGATTTACCACTGGAAGCGGACTATAAAGTCATCCAAGATTTTCCTAGAAATAGAAGTGTTTCTTTGCTTGTCAAGGTGGTCAATGCAAACATATATAT